TGGTTTGCTGATTGACTATAGTAATCACAAAAAATAATAATAAGTACTGCTGGAATAATGAAACTACCCGAATGATTTGTGCAGCTCTTCGTAGAACAACGCTTCGTTGCTGAGCACTCTGCATGATCCAGTTCGGCAGTACACGATGCGCATCGTTTACGGCCGCATTCACCATTTCCGAGTCTGCGATTCCACATTGTGTCGTTACCTGACCTTAACCTTGTGCCATTTATTTATACAAGAGACATGTGTGTTGTAGAGTGCATATTCGTAATATCCAAAGCAAAGCAGTTCAGTCGATAAGCACCGTTCCAACATCACTCTTCAACGGTACGCTGTTTGAGAGCCGAATCACTCTGTTAACAGAATGGCCATATGAATAATATCAGTGGACGCTAGCTGATTAAACTGCTTAACTTTTAATGTGGCACCGTTACAGAGCACGTCGTCACAAATCAAACAATTGTAACGTACGCCTATTTGGTGCAGATTATTGCAGAAAACCCCATCTGGTGCACGNCATAGGTGGACACACATTTTCAATTAGTTTCCATGTCAAATGAAAAGAAAAATAATTGAAATACGCAAACTGAGGAGTAGTTATCAATAGAATTTGGATTTTAAAAAAAAAGTAAAATCAGAAAAAAAGTGAATAAAAAACGAACGAACCACTTCTCGGTTGAATCACATCAAAAGTTCTCGCAGTTTGTGCAGCAGCAATACGAGATCCATTGATGAAATGAAGTGTTTGATCGAGCAGTTGAGGCACCACAAAACGTTTCATCATCGTTCGTTGGAATGTCTTCGAGAATCGTCTAGTCAAATGTTTCGAAGTGATCAGTTTGGATGGATGTGAGCCCTTCTGTCCCTGCGGTATCAACGAATTACGCACCTTATAGTACTCAATCCAAAACGGCAATATCACGCCTTTCGAATCGGCAAAGTTCAGTTGATGTTCCGGGCACAGGTCCTTTATGCCACACTTGCCGTACGCTTTTATCATCAACTCACAACAGTAATACGCCTCTTGCCCGTCGGAATTCAACGAGTCCGGTGAGAATATGTCGTTATACTTGCAGCCCACTCTGCTCATCGCCCATTCGGATGCATTCTCAGCTATCGTATCCGAAACGTTACGAACCGTAAACACATCAACATGATCCGCATCGATACGCCTTACCGTATCATCAATCGGCTCACAAATGACCCCATCAGCGGGTACTGTATGCACAATGGACTGTCGATTCGCACAGAACATACCCACATGAAAAACGTTCGGCGTATGACCCACACTGCAGACGGCGTTCTCGAATTCGTTTCCATTTAGTGCCGAGTATCGCATGAAGAATATCAAATCACCGTCTCGGATCTTACTGATCTCACACGATGACGCCAACATTTTCAGTCTAGTCTTCTTGCTTCTATTGAAATTCAACAACCTCAGCACTCTACTACCACCACCTTTGAAAGTTATGTCCAAATCCAACGGTTGGATACGAGTGACAAACCGAAATCCGAAACGAATAGCCGTTATGCTGAAGAACGATCGATTTTTGCAATTTATCCGATATTGAGTTTCAGTTTATTTGCTGAGATGACGAGGAACTTTGAGACAGAAATTGGAACGAATGAATTATTCCAGATGAAGTTTAATCAATACTATCAGTTGAAGTGATTGATAAGGAGAACAGTTTGAAAACACAACTGTGAGTTGTTGATGGAACAGCACGAATCGAAGTACTCGTAAAGCATTTAATGAGGGTCAGTTTCATGAAAAACGACTAAACAAAACGCAAAGGATGGATGAATATTTGCCTGACTACAGCAATACTTTAGCATGAAAGTTAATTTTGAAATAGTCTTAGAAATGAATTGATTTTAACGATAGAATACAAGAGAATACCGAGAATGTTCACCCATCTTTTTTTGTTTATTCACCAGTGAATAAGCATGAAGAAACAAATAATATTTAAATAAAACCTTCGAATGGATTACGCTGAATGGAGTGCTGATTTGCGTTATGGTCAGTATAATCTCATCAAGGGAATTAATTCAATGCTGGCGAAGAGAATAGTTTATGAATGAA